TTTTTACAACTTTTAAATGAAAACAAAGCTGAAAGCTGACGCATGACATCCTCTTTCGTTTTGAGATAACCGCGTTGTTTATCTTCCAACTGGAGTGTTAAGGGAAGCTCATTGAGCACAGGATGTATGAGAGGTTACGTTTGTTCAGATATGTGCTTAATCGGGAATTTGTCGCTCGTACCCGCTTTGTCAAAAGTTTGTATGATGCAGTCGATATTATTTTTCGTACTCACCATATGTGACCATCACAAATGAGAATATAAAGGACGCTGAAACCAACCCCACACGTCTCATAAGGAAGCCCATAAAATCTAACCTTCTTACTGAAATAGGTTGCTAAAATTGAGATAAGGATGTGGAAAAACAGCCTTTTGAATGTAATGTACTTCAACTTCCTTTAACACTGTAATTTAAGATAAGAATATAAATGTCAAAGGGGTCAGCATCTCCAGCAGCGTTATTTGTCACGAATCTTTACAATTTGAATTGTCTTGCTTTGACTGATTTACATCGGCAAATTAGTCTCGTATAGTGGGTTGTCTCGTTTGGTATGTAATTGCATACGTCATGTCGTTCACCTCAAATTATCGAAAAAGGAAGCGAAACAAATAAGCGATCCAGTCAAGCAACCGTTCCTTGCGCTAACAAGAAACCAACTGATTGATATAGCCTCCCGGCTCGCACTGCAATTAGCTTCTGATTTCTTTGTTAAATGTGTGAATTACGTAATCAAAATTTCTAAAGGAAAATCTCAATGCCAGTTATCTTCCGTCTCATTCTTTTCTCTCTTTTTTATCTACGATGAAAAGTGTCGCTAAACTTTTTAAACTTGGAGCATAGATAATCGGTTTTACTGCCCAATACATAATGACTTTCTTAATTTTGAGCGTTGTTATTTCTCAGGGTGTAAAGGGCAGGAAATGAGAAGTTATCTGTCAGCAAAGTGTTATTTTTTGGTGCGGAATTTTTTCCCCTTGAGCCAAATCACTAATGCTGAAACTGTACTGTCATTTTCCTTCATCCAACCCCTGC